ATTTGAGCTGGCTGGTCTCACTTTGAACCTGGTTTGCCTTGATTTCCAGCAGGGTTCCCTGCTATGGATGGGTGCATCTGTGCCATGGATTAATGTTTGTTGTTGTGCACTGGAAAATCTAGCAGAAGCAGCATCAGAAGGGATGAACTTGGGCACATTCTCCCTAGGCTGTTTGTGAAAAGGACCCTTTGTGTTGCTTTCATTACAGTCTGATTGTTGCTACGTCGATTTAAAAATATCAAGGGTGACACAGTGAAACTCAGAGGATAAGGATAACAAAATCCATAATCCTTCTTGTGGCAATACCTTTAACCAAGCCAATTAAAAGGCACAAAATAAATCATGCCAGCTTTTGAAGCTTCACAGGCTTCTTCACCAGGTCGAGATGGTAAAATAATGTATGTAGTGCGAGGAGATGTGACAATATTTTGGTCTTAGCGTCTGTATTCTGCAGTGAGATGTTTCAGGAAGTGTATATAAATGAACAAGCTGAGTAGGAACAAAGGTAATAAAACGAAGAGGCAATAAAATGTGGATTTCCCTTTTGCAGAGACATTCAACAGTAGCTGTGTTGGCCATGTAGCAGAATTTTTTATTTTGTTGTATTTTCCTTTTGAAGTTGCAAAGCAATCTGCCTCTGAGAACTATGACAGAGGAATGCAGCTAGTCTTTTGGGAAAGTCTCTTTATTCTCAGTTGTAGAGACAGGCTTAGATGTTGGAACAGGGAGAGCATATCAGTTGAAGCCTACTTAAGTGGCTTTACCTGATATTAGGAGGGTTAAACTCTCCCATTGTAGATCCCAATGTATGATGACACAAAACCCATCTCCTCAAGTTCAGGATTTCCCTGTTGTGGTGGTGTTTGGTATCCTCAGACCTAAAAATGTTGGAGGGGTTGCCATTTGGCTTTGGTGGTACATTTCTTCAACCTATCAAAAGGCACAAAATACACCACTCTAGGTTTCAGGTTTCTCAAGCTAGATATGATTGTGGGGAGGAGTACCATTTTTTAGTTGTGTACCAGTTTCTAAAATGTTCAGCCTCTGCGCATGTCTGTGCTCTGTATATAGACAGCAGGGTGGGAATGATGCAGCCCTTCAGCTCCCAGAATTCCTTTCTACTGGCTAGGCTGGCCTAGACTGCTGGGAGCTGCAGACCTACAAGATCGGGTGGAGTCACATGATTCTCGTTCCTGGTGTAGAATGTGCCCATGTTCTCTATACCAAGACAGTTCTTTCTTTAAGACAGGAAGGAGTTACTTCGAGTTGGTTTAACTGGTTTTAAATTGCCTAGTTTTATGTGGTAAAGGGTTTAATTTATCTTTAGTCTTTTAAACTCTTGTTGTTATTGTTTATTGACTTACCGTAAATTGATTTTATTATATGCCACCCTGAGATCTTCAGATATCGGGCAGGATAGAAATATTTTAATTAAATCAATAAATGGTTCTGAGCTTCCTTTCTCTGGTGGGGAAAAGTAGGCTCTTTGGCAGTTGTCTATCCCAGGCTGTCAGGGCCTGACCTCTTTCTCTCAGGACCAGATTCTTCAATGGAATGGCTATCATGTGTCCTCTTTTTCTTCCTCTCAGTTTGTCCTGAAGAACTACGGGGAGAATCCAGAGAACTATAATGAAGAGCTGAAGAAGCTGGAGCAGCTCAGGCAGGTAAGGACTTTCCCGCTTCTCATCGACGCAACATCTGCAGAGGGTTTGGCATACAGGTGCAGGCACTCTGTCCAGGAGAAGCTCATGATGGACTGGGTTTTTGGAAGAGAAGCAGAGGCAGACAGGGAGCCAGAAGGGCTTCACAGGCTGCATGTGAGTAGTGTGGCTGACTCATGGATCCAGCCTCATGCATTCCCTGTTTGACATGCTCAGGATGAAGGCATTTGTCAGGGGAGCTGTTGGTTCTTCCTGTGAGGTCAGAGTTTAGCATTCTCAGATTGACTTATAGGAAACACAGCTAAAAAGTGCATATAGGGTACAATCCTGTTGGATTCTAGAATCACGCTTGGCTTAAATGTGCATAAATGTGGCTTACACATGGGTATATATCTTTTTGGATGGGGCACTATTCTTGTGCACCCAGTCTAAAAACCTCCATCTCTGCTTCTGTCAAATTTTAAGGAGGGTTGCTGCTGCTAGATCAAGAGAAGTAATAGTGCCACTCTATTCTGCTTTGGTCAAGACTCACCTGGAATAAGACTGTGTTCAGTTCTGGGCACCACAATTCAAAA